TTGTAATGCTGCCTTTCAAAAAGAAAGAAAAAAATCTTAAAAAATACATAACACATTTTGTTGTTGTTGTTGTTGTTGTTGTTTTATGATTTTTTTTTTTATTTTGTCAACCCTTACATATTTAATTGGGGTAAAAAAGGTTCAAGGGCTATAGGGAAGTGGGCAAGACCATCACTTCCATACCGCTTCTTTCATGTATCTGAGGCAAAGGGGGATATAGAGGAAGAAGCCCCACCCAGTTTCCCACCCACCCTAAGTCCCAGATGTGGGGCATGCTCTGAGATACTCGATCAAGTGATTCCAATAGTTCACCATTCATGGATCGCTGCCAGTCTCGCCACTCCTAGCACGATGTGGTCGTTGAAGAGTCCATTGATTGACACAGTCCCTTCTAGATTCTCCATTTGCCCAGTAATAATACATTTTTATTTTGCTATTAAATTTTCCCTAACATTAGTCCATGTTGGATATATTGTCATGGTGCCCACATCATTATAAAGTAGATTATAGTTACTGGTTAATTTAAATGATAACCACATTTGAATTTTAAAAACTCACAATTCATGAAACATATAGAAAAATTGGAAATATCTTAAGACATACAGTTTTGTTCATGAACACACACACAAACACATACACACTCATACACCAAGTTCTATTTTAATTAAATACTTTGTTTCACTAAATATTTCAGGGTAAAACTTGGCATGAACTGTTAAGATGCAGCTCTTTATAAATACCTATTACTTTATTTTCTCAATTCATATTTATATGAAATTTGCTTACAGAACAATGTTTTTGTTTTCCTGTCAGAAACCTATAAAGTGTCAGACTTCATAGAAATTTCTAATAGTAAATCAGTGATTAAGGGACAGAATCCCCTTAAAACATCTTAAAGATCAGTAAGAGATACAAAAGGAAATAGTTAATTTGGGTGTAGCAGGGCAGGCACAGAGGTGAGGCTAAACTGTTTTTGACAGAGACCAAAAAATCTGTTGCTAATGCAAATTTGAAGAATCATAGAAGATATATCCTAGAGAAAATTCTTTTCCTGAAGATGAGATCATAATAATTAATTTTGGAAACATAATATTGTTACATTTCAGTATAACATTTTCATTATACATATCTGAAAAACATTTATTAATATTGGCAATCAATGTAATAATGTTAATCCTTATTATCTTATTATTACATCAACCAACAAGCATTTGTTTCCTGAACAAGCACTCATGCCAAAAACCCATTTGAGAAGTACAAAATAATAAAGAAAACGCAAATCATGCCTTCTAATTTCAAAGTATTTAAAAACAGCCGTGTAACAGGTCTCTTATCCATGAAATACAAGTTAAATAGTGTATAGGTACATGCTGGAATGTACCTTCAGGATCAAGGCCATGTCTAAATCAAGTTGCCATTGTGATATTAAGGATTTATCTATGGAAATATAAAATACACAACACAATTCAGGGATCATAGGAGAAGTGTATTAGCTTGAGGCTGTTTAAAACAGGAATCCATTGAAACTTTGGTAAGGAAAATAATACAGTAAAGATATTGTGGAAGGAAGATGGATCTAGCATTTCAGTATGAAGTAAAGATGTGTGAACTGTAAGCTTGAAAGTAAAAACAGAAATCTTTAGCTTCAAACTCAGGGAGTTATTCAATACATATGAATTGAGTTGTATCCATATTCCAGAAATTGCCACTGCTATGGGACAAAATTAGTGAACGTAGAGGACAGAGTCCTGTACTCACAGAATTTATATACTAAGGCTATAATAAATATAAGAAAGTTGTTTCATATGCCACATGGCAATAACAAATACAGAGAAAAGTAAATTCAAATGAAAAGGAAGGAGAATTGGTCAAAATGGTGGGTGTTTGTTATTTATTTGATTTTTAAAAAGAAATTAGAGAGCACTTATAATAGATGATATTATAACAGGAAGGAAATAAGTAAATGAAAGTTAAGAAATTTATTAACACAAAATTTTGTTGTGACATGCAGAGGATCAAATAAGTGGAATGATCCTGCAGAAGAGTAGTGATATTTACCTGAAAGAGGAAAAGGGAGCTGATGTCAGAGAGGTAACTGGAAACACAGAGTGGTGAGCTCCTGGATGCTGTTCAGTTTTAACTTTTAGGTAAGCTAGATCCCAGGGAGGATTTTGAGCTGAGAATGGTATTATGGTCTAGATTTTTGTATCCCCTCAAATCCATATTCTTGAAACCTTAACCAACAACCAGATGGCATAAGGAGGTGGGGGAATTTGAGATGTGATTGGATTGTGAAGGTAGATTTCTTAGATATGAGTGGATGTATAAAAACCTTGTAGAGCCCACTCACACTCTGTCTGCTATGTGAGGATACAATAAGAAGGTATTGTTCATCCTGGAAAAACTCTCAGCAGAATTCAGCCATGGTTATATCTTGATCTAAAGCTTCCATGTTGTAGTACTGACTTAGAAACAAATGCTTGTTGTCTCTAATCCATTCTGTTAATGGTATTTTGCAAGAGCAATCTGACTAGGACTAGTGACATCATCTAACTCACATTTGGACAACACCTTCGCAGCTATGTTAAAAACAGACAGCTGAGAGAATGAGAGTGAGCAGACTGAGAAGAGGCTATTGCACTAAATCATGTGACAGATGAGGCAGTACAAAGGTACAATGAAGTGAATAGATATATTTTGTAAATAGATTTACTAAGGCTCTAGGAGAAATTCAGGATTACTTTAGGATACATTTAGTTTGGGAAGTTCAAGCAGGTTTCATTTTACATCATTTATTTTAATTGAAAGGTAGAGAGACAGGTAAGGAAAAATAGATACAGAGAGGTCACCATTCACTGGTCACTCCCCAAATGATAGTAAAAGCAAAGTCTGGGTGAAGCTAAAACCAAGAGCCAAGAATATCATCCAGGTCCTTAATGTGGCTAACATGGAAATTCACATTGGGTATGTAGGTGAACTTTCTACAATATATAAGTGCTAGAGTATAGGGAAGTGGCCCATGTGGGTGAAGATACTTTATATATAGCTACCACAGCAATGCATATAAAGCCATAACCTTGAATGTGATGCCTAGGAGGACTGTGGAAATAAGTGAAGTTAAAAATGAGATCCAGCTGTCTTGCGTGGTGATATAACAGGCTAATCCCCTACCTGCAATGCTGACATCCCATATAGGTACTAGTTCAAGTCCTGGATGCTCCACTTCCGATCCAACTCCCAGTTAAGTGCATCTCAGAAGCAGTGGAAGATGATCCAAATCCTGGCTTTGCACCACACACGTCTGGCCACTGTAGCCATTTGGGCAATAAATCAGTGGGTGGAAGACACTCTCTGTCACTCCCTCTCTGTCACTCTGACGTTCAAGTAACATAAATAAATCTTTTAAAAAGAAAAAATATTGGAGCTCCAGATTGAGGCGAATTCAGGAAAATGGATGATGAAGAAGGGATGATTATTTAGTTAATTGGATATCTATTATAGAAATATTAATTGTGAGATATGTAAAGAAAATTTTTCAAAAATAAGGGGCAGGTATTTGTTGAAGTGGTTAAGCTTCCCTCAGGGACACTTATATCCCATGGTCCCATGGGGAATGCCTGATTTGAACTCTGGCTCCACTCCCTGCTCCAATTTCCTGCTAGTATGCTCTCTGGGTTAAACCTCAGGAAGCTGGATCTTTGCCACTCATGTAGTAGATTTGGATTGAGTTCCTGGCTCCTGATCCCAGGGTAGCTTACTGCTGGTTTATTCAGACACTTGGAGATTGAACTAGGACAGGAAGATCTATCTTTTCTGTTTTTCATTCTCTGCCCCCTCCTTTATTCTTTTAAAAAATAGTTCTTTTGTTTATGTGAAAGTCAGAAATAAAGAGATATTCCATCCTCTGGTTCATGCCCCAAATAGATGCAGTGGCTGGGCCTTGGTCAAATTGAAACCAGGAGCCTAGAGCTTCCTCTGTGTCTCCATGTGGGGGCAACGGCCCAAGGACTTGGACCATCTTCCACTGCTCTTCCCAAGTACATTAGTAGGGTGCAGGATTGGAAGTGGAGCCATTGAGACTCAAACCAGTATCCATATAGGATGCCACCAACATTGCTGGTGGTGTCTTACACAGCTAAGCCATAAGCCAACCTCTCCCTGACTTTCAAGTAAATAACACCAAAAAAAAATCAATACAAAATGATATAAATGAACCATTGGTTGAGTTAAACACACAAGTAGATCTACAAATAATAGAACTGAAAATTTATCTATAGATTTAATAATATAGAAGCAACTAGTGACCCTGGTAAGAGATGAATGTTTGGAATAAAAGCCAGAGCAGAGATGGCTCAAGAGATAGGGGACGCAGAGATGTAATACAGAGAAAAAGGTGCATAATCCTTTTGGAAAACTGTGATCATAAAGGAAAGGCAAACATTGAAACAACAAATGAGGTAGAGCAAGGAATCTAGAACATGTGAATCAAAAGAAAGTATGAAAAATAAACCAAGGAATGCTTCTTGTCATTGATATTCTTAATAATCCTCTGCCCTTTTGTATGTGTCCTCAATGACTAATTTCTGCCTAACATAATGTGACAAAATTGTCTGGTTATATTATAAAACATTGTGACATCTGGTTCGCTATCAGACTCTCAGAAAGCACACTCTGAACAAACAATGCCATTTTGGACAAGCCCACACAGCAAGAAATTAGGAATAGCCTCTGCATTACATTCCTAAAGGAATTCAACACTGTGATAGCTATGCAAGTGGGATGAAAGGCAGATGGTTCTTTGGTCAAGCTTTCAGATGTGACCCTGGTTTTGCCTGACATCATGAGTGAAACTTTTAGATAGTCTGAGCTAAAGCATACTTCTAAACCATGTCCAACTCCTGAGTCACAGAAACATGAGATAGTAATGTATGCCCTGTTACGTTATTGAATTTTGAGAATTAATTTCATAGTTGTAGATTTGAAGTAAAATAATTACTCACCAATTGTTCCAGTGGAGGAATGACATCTTTCAAGACATGCTGTGAATGATTCCGCCTGTGTCGGGATATCTGCAAATTTATTGATATTTGATTCGGTTACATTACTTTTCAAAAAATCTATAAATCATTTTAAAGCATAAGTTAGTAAGTGTGCATATATTTAAATTAATTCAAAGAAGTGAATACAATAAGTATAATTGGAAAAGTAACCAATTTGCATAAAATGTGTACTCAAAAATAGAAAGTTACCACAACACTCCATATCCTGCATGCTCTTACTAGTGTACAGTCTTGTTACACCTCTCATCTAGTATGGAGTTCATGTTCTTTCATTGGACCTGGGCTTACACTGATGCCTGATGCAATAAAAACAAATGACAACAGTGTCATCTTTTCACCTCACGTGCATAGGAAAGTGCCATACACATTCTTTTTATTCTCTTGAAACTCTCAATCTTAGAAAACAGTCACAGGGTTGTAACTAAGTAGAAACTATTCCCATACACAGTGAGAACAAGGAGAGGGCTCATGAATTTCCCAGCTGGCAGCTACCTGGAATTTCAGAATAAAGTCAACATTAAGTACCATCCATGTGAGTATCAAGACTTTCCCACAATTCCTGCTAACTATGGTTTATCTTTAGTCTTCAAGCTTCCCAGCTTAGAGACAAACTGCTGTTACTGCAGTTAACTTGAGATTTAGCAGATCTCAGCCACAATAACATCACTGCTGTACACCTCCAAATTTCATGGTGACAAGGAATGCAGTCATAGTGACTGGAAAAAAATATTTTATGTTGAAAAACTGCATTTACATGCTCAGATCATTTTCATATTTTAATATGGTTATACAAAAATCATACAATAATGCAATAAATGCTTTAGGGACAAATAGGAGTATTATTATTCCATTCTCTCAAGATATGTTATAGACAAATTATGCAGAAAAACATAGAGGGAAAGATTAAAGATTTATAATTAAATCCTGTGATATTTGATAAACAGAAGTACTCATAATTTTGCATGAAGGAGAGGAGGGTGATGGGCAGGAGTGAAAGATACAAAAACAGAGACAGAGACAAACTAAAAGGGGGGGGGGTAAAAAACTAAATAGAGCAGATCTCTATTTAGAAAGTAATTTAGCTGTCTTTGGTTACTACATCTCTAAGTGACTGAAAGAATTAGATGAATTTCTGTGAAGATTTTGAGGGAACTGTATTTTAAAGGAAACCAGAGACCATCATTGTAACATAGTAGGTTAGACTACCAACTAGAATGTTAGCATCCCACATGGTGCCAGTTTGAGACCCTACTCTTTCACATCTGCTCCAGCTCTCTGGTAATGTGGCTGGGAGAGCAATAATACATGGCTCAGTTGCTTGGGCCCCTGCACCCATGTGGGAGACCTGCACAGATATCCAGGCTCCTGGTTTTGGCCTGGTTCTGGCTGTTGTGGTTACTTGGAGCATGAACCAGCAGATGGAAGACTGCTCTCTCTGTCTCTACCTCCTCCATCTCTCTGTAACACTTTCAGATAAACAAAATTAAATCTTTGAAAAAAGATTTATTTATTTTTATTGGAAAGGCCAATTTATAGAGAGAAGAAACAGAGCATGATCTTTTATCTACTGGATCACTCTCCAAGTGACTGCACTAGCCAGAGCTGTGCTGGTTTGAAACCAGGAGCCAGGAGCTCCATTCACATCTCCTATGTGAGTGCAGGGTCTTAAGGCTTTATGCTGTTCTCTACTGCTTTCCCAGGCCACAAGCAGCAAGCAGGATGGGAAGTGGATCAGGCAGGATATGAATCAGCACCCACATGGGATCCTGGCACACAAAAAAGAAAAGATTTAGCCACTGAGCCATGCAGCCAAGCCCAATGAAAATAAATTAAAAAAGAGAAAGAGAGAGAGAGAGAGAGAGAACCTGGCCCCCAAGCCAACATGCAACAGTGACATCCCAAATCCAAATGTCAGTTTGTGCTCTGAGTGCTCAGCGTTTTAGTCACGTCCCTGCTAATGCACCCGTGAAAGCAGTGGATTATGGGCCAAGTATGTGGATCTCTAGCAATTATAGATGAGGTCTAGATGAAGTTCTAGTTCCTGGTTTTACCCTGGGCATGCATGGCCTGTCCACTGCAACCAATTTATATGTGTAAGGTTTCTCTCTGTTTCCTGCCTTTCAAAGGAACAAATAAATCTTAAAAAAAATTCTATATACATACATTTAACACTTGGTCTTACCCAAAAGGCTGAGGAGTGATGTAGACATACATTTTAAATAAATAGTAAGCTTTGAAGACAATCATTACAATACCATTTTAGAATCTTTGATCTGCTCCACTAGATTATACACAGGATTATGAGGAAAGTGAGAATCTAAGCAGATTATGTTTCCCATTTGTCCCTTTTTACATGTGGCCCCTAATGGATAATGACAAAAAAGAGCTTACAGACAATTAGAAAGAATGGAGAACAATGGACATTAAAGGTTTTTCCATGAAGGACAGCTGGGAACCATATACAGAGCATTTTCTGCTAACAGGGACTTATTTTATACCAGGTAATAGCTACTTCTTCATCATGCATTCCCATATTTTATTGCCAGTAAAATTTTTAAGACATCAGTATTATACTACCCTTTTAATATAAGTATAAAAATACAGATACAAATAGTTTAACTTTGAAAATCTTCATAGTGGGCCTGGTGCAATGGCTCAGTGGCTAAATTCTCAGCTTGCATGTACTAGGATTCCTTGTGGGTACTGGTTCATTGCCCAGCTGCTCCACTTCCAATTCAGCTCCCTGCTTGTGGCCTGGGAAAGCAGTAGAGAATGACCCAAAGTCTTGGCACCCTGCACCTATGTGGGAGACCTAGAGGAGGCTCTTGGCCCCTGGATTTGGATTGACTCAGCTCTGGCTCTTGAGGCCACTTGGGGAGTGTACCAGTGGACAGATGTTTTCATCTGTCTCTCCTCCTCTCTGTAAATCTGTTTCCAATAAAAAGTTACTCCTTCTAAATCCGTGTTTCCAATAAAAATAAGCATTTTTTTAAAAAGAAAAACATCACAGCTAGTAGTCATACGTGATATTTTAATTTAATTGTTTCTCCAGCAATACATACACATACACCCAAAGACACATACAATCACACACTCCCACCTGTGCCCACAAAATTCATAGGTAACTATAAAGCTGAAAACTCCCTTTGTACAGACAAAAATGTTTGCTTTTTATTAAATTTTCCATTTGTTTTGTTGGAGAGCAAGACAGAAAGATCTTTGACCCATGGATTCACTCATGGATTCACAATCTGCACTAGATAAAACATTGGACTTCTGGACTGGAAGGCCAGCACCTGTTTGAGCCCTCACGTGTTGCTTCCCAGGGTGTGCCTCAGCAGGAAGCTGGAATGGAGGACAGAGCTGAGTCTCAAGCCCTGACATTCTGATATAGAATGAGAACATTTTAAGTCAAGTTTTAACGCCGTGCCAAATTCTTGCCCCCAAAAAGGATGCTTCTAGGATAAAAAAAATCAAAGGGAGCCAAACTCATAAATTTGTGCACGTTGTATGAGAAGCTAGAAATCAGACTTCAATTTTGTTATGAGTTGTCTTAATATTCCTTTAGGCGAAGCAATATTGCTGATGATTCCTAAATCAATAAATTAGCTGATTTGTCATGTGCAACCAAGTTATGAAGATGGTCAGAGGGGAACTTTCATCACCTGCCGTTTGCCTTCATGCCCTTCTCAGGAAAGCATTAGGCAAAGAATATGTTATCATTCCAAATCAAATTGCTTTGATTAAGACATGATTTAGGACATTCTGTATCCAAACTAGTTTAATTGCCTCAAATACATATCAGTGAAAAAATATTTGAAGTTATCTTTACATATTACGCTTTCTTGAAATTGTAAGTATAAAGAAAACTTGTCAAACAAAACTTTATGAAGCAAGTTTCAAGGTAAAGTTCTCTCCCAAGCCATAAGATAAATATGAGAAAGCTGTTCTTGTGCATATGGAAGTATTTATTTCTAGCTTATTAGTATTAACATAAAAGTTGATAAAGTCAGTTCATCTCAAAAGAAATATCTAAAGACACCAGATGTGTTAATTACCAGTTATTATTCATCAAAATGATTGTCTTCTATCCATACACTCAATCCCCAGGTTCCCAAAATTTCCAACTGGACTAGACCAAAGTGAGAATCTGAGGACTCCATCTGGGTCTCACCCTTGGATGCAGGAATAATAATCTAAGGAACAGGTGCTAAATATGTATATATATCCACTGGTTACGAAATACTGCAAAAAAACCATGTTTCACTCTGATGCCTTTTTCATTACCAAAATATTCAGAGCATTTGTATGCATTTGGCATGAAAAACCTATTTTTGCCAAATAAATTCTAGATGAGTCATGCTGATAATAAAGAGAGCCCTTATTGGATCTAAAGTCTGTGTCATTTTTACTAAAACTGTTAAGTATTATTAACTTTTATAAACTTGAAATGCAGTAACAAGGCCAGCTATTCTTTGATACAAACTAATTTGCTCTTCATTCTAGAAATATTACTTCTGAGGAAATATGAACTTTTTGATGCATGTCCTACCTTACTTTTCCATTCCCAATGTCATTGAATAGTATATAGGTCTTCCTTGTAAACATAAATGGACAGGAACACATCTGCTAAAAGTGAGTGTACACAGCCTCATTCACTAGGCATATATTATGGCTGTTGGTTTCACTTTCATTTCAAATCTTACATTTGAAATTATACTGAAATTCCTACAGGTCAGTTTATGTGTAATATTTTCACACACACACACAAAAAGGCCTTGACCATTCAGTGTCTCTGGCCTGTTTACTAAAATATGACTCAGGAATTTGTTTTGAGGTGACATGGTTTTATCTTACACTCTTGTATCACCGTATCCTGTATCTTAAGGAAATGAATTATGATAATAAATACTTGAACTGACACTATCTTTTCTTTTGATGAGTAAACAGAATGTCAGACATATTGTGCGCATGTGTTTATGTAGCTGTGGATGATACCTTTTCAATAA